AGAGAGAGAGAGAGAGAGAGAGAGCAAGAGGAAGCGAAAGAGAGAAAGAGAGAGAGAGATAGGAGGGAGAGAGCAAGAAACAGCGAAAGAGAGAGAAGGGGAGTTATTTCCATCGAGCTATCGAAAATCCTACGTCTCCCATCTCACATGCAACCAGGAAATCCAACATATATGCTGTTCGCTGTTTAGCCAAACATCTGCCATAGTGATATCCACCTCTATACACAAATGACACCCTCAGGTAAACTCTGTGGGAATCCTGCTTACCTATATATAGCAGACAGGTCTGTGAACGAGGTACAATATATCTTGAATAAATGTATATTATGCGCGTAAATTGTGTCGCAGCTGGGTACGTGTCTAGAAACGAAATCAGATTTGGAACGTGATCGTTGAATAACGTGCGCCATTTGGAGAAGCTGCCGGGGCATGAGTATGGGCAATGAGGCATCATTAGAAATTAAGAGCTGAAATAATCAATATACATGTCGAGGTTCTGCGCCTCGATATTTAATCACAGTGAAGCCTGTCAGACGGGTGCGTATATAATTATAGCGATGTATATGTAACACCATAGGGCTACGATTATGTGGCCCCAAACATCAGTAAGCAGTCGATATTTGGACATTTTATTTGGTTCTCAGTATATATTTCCATTTTTTCAATTTCTTAATTAAAATAGCCGAAAAACATGAGATATGTGCGCGCAGAAATCCGAGATTTTTTTCCTGTGTTTAAGGTAAGGCCGCCTTTACTGCCCTTTGCGTATATCCTACCTTTATACATTTATGGTAATTACCATACCTTGGAATATGCTTTGTCTTGTTTCGGCACAGAAGTTTCCACTATTACAAACGTAAAAACAATACACAAAAACTTATATACTTATATACCGTTACTTATCTTAGAAAAACGGTGTAGGCGCGCGGAAACAGTAGCGACACCTTGCGTGAGAAAATGACCCCACGCGCGAGGTTGGATCTGCTCTACTCATGGGTACTGCTGGTGTAGAATCATACTGATTTTAAGATATGCGATACGAGAAATTAAATGTGCTTATCAGGAATCGAATTATAATATTGCATTCGAATATTTGTAATAATAGTATAATCTAATGATCTAATAATAAAACTCCATGGAATAAAACATCATATAGTTCTACCACGCCGGTTATCAGAACAAGATTAGTCTTCACCCCTTTTCTGTTGACAGAAACATGGTAAAGTTACGAGTTTCTGACACGCGGTGTATAGAGGGCCGGTATACGAGAAAAGTTAATATATTAAGACTAATCTTACGCCTAATTTTGTGTCTGACAACGGGCCTCTGGCTTCTACGATCAGAATACACCACAGATCGAACATTTTCATTTCATAGGCAAGCTCTCACACTCCTGCTACCTCACCACTGGCGGTCGCGCTCGCTTGCACACAGTTTTTGCCGATGGCAATATAGAATCCCTCATTAATTTTCATACCGTCACCGAGTAGGTATTTGCAAGCTCAACAATGCAGCCGGGTTATACCAGGTTTATAACGGGGTGTGAATGCCCGATCTGTGAATGCATGCACCCGTGTATTGCACCGCGCTGTACGACCACGGGAGCGATCGAACGTACTGCAAAAGGTTGCCGCAGCCAGGCAACAAACATAGCAGTCTATTCATTAGCACGCCGGATGTAGAGCCACCGATGCTGTTAATCCTAACCAGCGTATACAAATTCTGAATGCCGAATGGGCACTCTGAGCAAGCCAGCATGGTATAGTGAGGACTGGGTTGCAAAGGGAATCCCGAATAGTCTGGTATAGTAAGGAGTGGATTACTCAGGGAACAGCGTTCAGATTTGTATAATGAGGAATGGATTAGCAAAGGAACAACGTACAACTAAAAAACAACAAAACAAAGGAACAAAGTATAGTGACTGGATTACTAAAGGAACAGCGTTCAGGCAGTAGGCCTATAGTAAGGACGGGATTAGCAATGAAAAAACGTTTAGCCCGGTATTTACTATTAGCTGCATTACCAAGGGAACAGCGTATACAGACAAGTGTAGTGAGGGCTGCATTAGCAAGGGAACAGCGTACAGACAAGTGTAGTGAGGGCTGCATTAGCAAGGGAACAGCGTATACAGACAAGTGTAGTCAGGGCTGCATTAGCAAGGGAACAGCGTACAGACATGTGTAGTGAGGGCTGCTTTAGCAAGGGAACAGCATATAGACATGTGTAGTGAGGGCTGCATTAGCACGGGAACAGCGTACAGACATGTGTAGTAATAGGGCTGCATTACCAAGGGAACTCGGCACGACTAGGCAATGTCAAGGGGGTTGCCTGACGACGGAAGAAGCGCTGCGCAACGAAACCAGGTCCTACGGAACTTGGGAAACATTTCACCGTCGCCTAACAAACAGAGAATGCACGGCAAATTCATTGTTAATGAGTGGAAATTTATAATTAATTTAGTCAGTGATAGTGCCAAGCACAATAAACACATAGGCAAAATTTGAATTGAGAGGAGAAATTAGGAAAGCAGAACATCCGAAGTAGCAGGTGCAACGTACAAAAACACAGCAAAGCAATTTTATCTGGAAATAACCCAGAAATCGTTTTTATTGCTTAATTAAACTGCAATAATACAACAGAATGAAGTTACTTTCAACAATTCTCGCACAATCGACCTACTCTTTGCTTTGCCTCTCCCTCGCTAACTATCAAACTTGCTAACTATAACGACGTATTATGTGGTTAAACCCTAATGAATGCCGCCGCCGTCGTGATTATCGTCATCGTCAACATCGTTGTCGCCGTCGTCATCATTGTCTACATTATCGTCATCGTTATCAGTATTTTCGCCAGTGTCATACAAATCATAGTCACCAACGTCGTGATCACCCCCATCATAGCTGCCGTCATCATCACACCGCGAACTGTATCGTCATCATCGTCGTCGTCGTCGTCGTCGTCGTCATACCACGGAACTGTAGAAACCTGCAGGGGTCGGACCAACTATGCGTGTGTGTGTGTGTGTGTGTGTGTGTGTGTGTGTGTGTGTGTGTGTGTGTGTGTGTGTGTGTGCGTGCGTGTCTGTGTGTGTATGATGATGGGTAATCATTTGTGACAGCGGCAGGTATCCGTTAACACAGGAACATCGGTGAATCGCAGGTCGCCGGAACACGCCGCGTACGTTCGCACACGCACCCTTGGACCACTGTTCGCAATCACACTAGCACCGACGTCGTCGTCATCATCGCAATAGTCGTAGTCAGCATCATCATCACCATCATCGGTGTCGTCGTCGTCATCATCGCAATAGTCGTAGTCAGCATCATCATCACCATCATCGGTGTCGTCGTCGTCATCATCGCAATAGTCGTAGTCAGCTTCATCATCACCATCATCGGTGTCGTCGTCGTCATCATC